GGGGGAAGAATCAAGTATTTTATTAAAGATTTATCAGGATAGAGGATGGAAGGAGGTCACAGCGTGTCCAAACTCCTCCCAAACCTTTACATGTTATACAAGCACTTGGATAGCATTTGCTTGCCTCATCCTGATAACATGCTCCTGATAAGCCCTGGGATTTCAAAGAAATAGAGGAAGTACTGAGAAGGCTCAGGGCAATGCTCGTTTCCAGAAGAACGACACCCGGCAATAGAGTTGCTTACCGAAGCATACTCTGATATCATCATGTCTCAGCCTGATTAATCACTGCTGAAATGTAGCAGAAAGGGTAGAATCTCTTAGCATAACTAGGGCTTGAAACAAATGGCAAGATAAGTAGTAGCCTTTCTGCTCTGAGATCTAAGCCTTCATGCCAAACAGTTTCCTACCTCTTGAAAACGTGAATTAAAATGTGATCCAAGAAAAATATATTACATTACCTTTTGCAACAGGTTTACACTATATATATGCAGTGTCAAGTGTCATTTAGGGAAGAAATTAATTCAATAGAATAATTTTAAATTAAAACATTCAAAGTATTTAAATTCCGTGAAAGCTGCTCTTTCCTGGACCATATATGCAGATTTTTTAAAATAAGGAACTACTTAGTTGACTGTGAGTTGAATGAAAACATTTACCAATAAAATTCATATTCAATTTTTCTGAATATTTATGTCACTTTGCAGATGAAAAACTTTACAAGCCCTTTACAAATTCCCTAACCTGGATACCTCAAGAGAACTGCAACTTGCCATGCATTTTTTTTTTTTAAAGTAGGTGCAATGCCTGAGAGCAGAACCAAAAATCTCAAGAGGAAGGCTTCTTTTAAATGCACTATTTGAGAATAAGGCTGAACAAAGCAAAGAAGGCTTCCACTGAACTTTTGATACAGCAGTCATAGAGCTTCTCCCACAAATTGTGAACATATGGTATAATTCAGTACACCTTGCTAAAAAGATAAGAAAATGGGAAAGTGGATGGACAGACATGTTTACTTTCTGTTCTTTACTCGTATACAAGTCCCTGTGATACAGGAAAGCAGCTTCTGATGAAGAAATATCCAGAGTAGCTGAAGTGCAGAAACTGAAAAAAAATCGTTTGTTAACCTTAGTCTCACTTGTGATTACATAGTGTTTTCAGAGATACACAGTTTACATGTTAGCAACGTGGCTAAAATAAATTCTCTAACAACTTTGGATTCTGTAAGTTATTTTATGGGAAAACACACACAAAATTATAGTGTAACTGTATTTTGACCTAAAAGCACTACTGTGCCAATATCAAAATATTCATCTTTAACTCTTCAACAATTAAGCCTCACAGCTTGCCTCATACTGGCAATTTAGATGGTCTGTTTTTGATCAAACCAGTAATAGGAAGGTTTAAGCCTTTTCTCTTTGAAATCAACATTAAAAGCCAAAAGTCCACTGGTAGATTTACACTAATATTGAGGAAAAGCAGGCTTTCTGGTTTTGAGAAGAATACACAAGTTGTTGGTAATCAGGCTCAGACAATGCATCCCAGATGGTAGATGATATTCTGTTTGACAAATGCATTTGCTCATCCTATAATTTTCCTGAAAGATTACTTGGGTGACACAGCTAGACACCCAAACAGAAAGTTATCGCACTTGAGTGGGCTTGACCAACATAATGGGAGTAAAAATATTAGTTGCATTGTCAGGAGAATCACTCTCAGGATTGTCATGATTTTGTGATCTGCTAATCCAGTGGCTATAATTCTGTACCTTAACTGGGGAAGCATCTTGATATATTCCTCGCACATACAACAACCCTTCAGAACTACATTACCAATGTAATTGGATAGAATGAGGCAGTTTTAGTTATCCTGATATTATTTAACTGTTCAGTGAGAAATATGAAGAAGATTACCTTATTTCTGTTGTATAATTTATAGGAAATGCAAAGACCTTCTGGAGCAATATCTTTCAATCAAGCCAAAGGATATTTCAATGTTAGCCATTTGAACTAAAACATATGAATCTATCTATTGCCATGTGCTATGATCCTATCAAGCAAAAGCCCTCTCTTAACGCATTCTTCTCCAAGTAAATACTTCAGTTCTTTCATTTGCTAACTTTCTGGGGCAAAAGGGGACATTTTTAGACCAGTTTTCATGGACTGTTTGAATTTAATACACTTCAACTGAAACAACTTGTTCTACTATTACTTTTAAACTGGGATTTTTAATACCACAAGGTCTAACATGCACATCACTTGATTTGTTAGCTATATTTTAATTGCAGCTTTCCTTTAAGCATTTTTTCCCCTAACAGCAGATCTAAATAGTGCTCTAGAAAGGAAATTTAAATCAGGAAGAACTGCTTTTCGTGGTGAATCCTGGAAGCTTTAAAGCAGAAGACAAATGAAAAGGAGTCACAGAGCTTGTGCATACAGGAGGTCTTTCCAAAATTTAAAAGAAAGCAACAGATAGGCATAAAATAACTGCCTAATTTACAGTAGTGTATGAGATAAGTATACATACCAGCTGAAATTCAAGTTTTATCTTGAGAAAGGCAGGTAGAAAGGACTGAATATAAAAGCACATGAAGGGGGAAAAATATTTCAAGGAAATTTGATCCAGCTTTAATAAAGATATTGCTTTGAAACCGAGATTGTTCCTGTAATAAGAACAACAGTAAGGTCAGAAGCACAACATTTATACCTGATGGTTAAACTTTTATCTGCCCAAAATATGGAAGCCAGTGCTCTATGTTTACAGTAAAGAATATTGCCTCTGTGCCACTGGCAGTCTGCTACTGTACTTACGATTTTATTGACACCAAGGAAAAGCTCGAAGCTGTTGTATGTGTACTGCTTACCAGACAGCCAACACTGGCTTTTGCCTATGTAGTTACACTACTCCCGTTGTAGTAAACAAGCAAAGAATAAAATTTTTAAAACTTTTTTACAGGACTTTTCAATCATTTCTGATTTGGATACACTATTTTTTTTTTCTTTTAATGGAGGCATAGGACCTTTTATGAAGATTTGCAGCTCAGGAGAAGTAACTTTGTTTTTCTTAGCTACCTATTGATAACTAAATCCCTTAGAAGTAATCTACAAATTCCCAGATACCTGCAAAGCACAGATTAGGAGCCATAGGCACAGCAAATGTATTCTGCTAGGGGCTATCATCATTATGGCTTCCCCCCCTTAATCAGTTGCTATTTTGCATCTATGAGAACTAAAAACTTCCCAAGCCATAGGGCCAACCTACTACTCCAGAAACCTTTTTTAAATATGACATTTCTAAGTCAATTACTCAGCTGTACTAGATGTTTTGCCATTAAGCAAAAGTTGCAGGTTGACTACAGAGCTGTGGTGTGCAAATTAAAGACCTTGTAGGCTTTATCTGGGAATTAGACACACTAGAAACCTATCCTGGGGCAAACTAATAACGCCCAGGACAGACATGGGGCAGTAAACATTTATGTCACATCACAAGTCTTCTGGGTAAACAGCTGCGTTCTGATCAATAGTGACTCTAGGAAGTCAACAAGAACAAGATATGTCATTTGATCAGCAGTTTGTCATTTGTGGTGATCT